GATACTTGAGTTGATGGGCATCTGTTTCATTGTGGATGAAAACACCAACGATGACTGAGTGACACAAGGTGATGAACTTAGCGGTGGATCAGAAGCTGTTCTTTTTCGGCTTTCAGATAGTTGTCCAACTGCAAGATTACCACCACTGCTGTCTTTCACTACTAGTTCGGGTTTAGCACTATCATCTGATGATAGGTGGGCTACATGCTGATCAATTACACTGACGGTCTCACAAGTATGCACGCCTTCTGCAACTGCATCTGCGTTCAATTCTACTTCACGTTCAAGTTGTACAGAACCTTTATTTAACTTAGCAGTAGTAGGCATATCCCTCATCTCATCATGATCAACCAAGAACATATGTGAAGTATCATGATCATTATCACGAATATTCACTTTACCGTCAACTTCATCATTTTCAAACTCTTTAATAACAGAAGTAGACAATTTTGGTTCCTCCTCACAAATCATTAAAGGTTTTATATCTTCACTCTGACTAGTTATACTTTGTAAACTTTTGGAGTCAGAACTGCACTCTGAAGCAGTAACTCTATTCTGTGACACTCTATTCAACAATGGCTTACCAGTTGCAACTACAGACTTCTTCACAACACCGTTATCGTCACACAATTCGGAGTCAGACCTGGAGTTTACATTTAGCTTATCACTGAACTTGCTCACTGGTTCACAGTTCACTTCTGTATGCACCTCTTGCACACGTGTCAAGCACAACCGTGTTTGTCTTGCATCTTGCAACTTATCTGTTGAGGATGTACTACGAAACCTGTTACACTCACTAGGTCTATATGCATTACTATACATCATGGAGCTTCTCGATATCCACCTCTCTGAGGCCTACTCGTCATCAATGATTGCATTTTGATCTCAGACTGCTCTATTCTAGGGGTGAGATGTAATAGACTGGCGAACTTGCTCATAGATTGATTGACACTAGTATTTACCAGTTTCAGGATATCATCAAACTTTGGCTCGATACCCTCATCCTCCATACGGGAGCTCATCTTCACCCACTTCCTTTGCAGTCGAGTAGGTAGACGTCTTGCTATTACTTCTAGTATAAAACTCGAGTTGAGGTCACTCATGCAATTCATCGAAATCATTCCATTCTTGTAAATTAGCAAATTATCTAAAAACTCAGTGAGTGCCTGGGAGTCATCCTGTAATTGACCACCATTACCCTTAACAGCCTCGAATAATTTCCCTACAATCATCGAAGGTCTTCCAAACCTTTGACGTAATATGCTCATAGCCTCGTAGTAGCCCTCTTTTGGCTTCATAAACGTACAGCACTGTATAGCTCTTGCAGCATCTCCAGTGCAATATCTCATCAAATACATTAACTTCAATTCATCATTTAATAAAATACCACTCAACATGATCTCAAACTCCTTTACAAATTGTAAATAATCGGCCGGGTTTCCATCAAAACACCGTGGTTCAAATTTAGGGAGTTTGATGTTCCTATTATCCCTGAACGGCGAAACAATAACATCAACCATGTCATGCTTAACATCAGACACATCGTTACAATTAACAGACAAGTCACAATGACTTACTTTCCTGTTTGCATCCAAGACACTCTGTCCCTTCTTTGACCCAGGCATTGTTGAACTTGACCCAATTCCAAAAAGTTCCAGATATTGCTTGTTCAAAGAGGACTTGACCGGCACCAGGAAAGATGAACGGCGACTATCCAAACTTTCACCAACTGTTTGAATCCGCCAGATCTGTTTCTATCGTCAGAAACTGTCAGTCACGTCTCATAAACCGTTAATGCCCAGCTCTCGCTACGCTCGGGCCCACGCTGTTCCTTTGAGTTTCAGAAACGCTGAGTTATAACGGACGAAAAAACCAAAACACCGATCTGCCGCTTGTTATTTGTTTATTGTTACACCAACATATAAAAGGAATAACTGAACTAAGGTTTCTGACGATGTTTCACTCTTCTTTCTGAACAGCGACCGATGAGACGATGACTGTCGTATTGATGCCTCCGCGAAAAATTGGGGAAGTTGGTTTTGAGCAAACAACCAAGAATTGATCGTTCAATCTTCAACTCCATTGACAAGGGTTATAACCAGTTATGGCGAAGGTACCGAATTCTTCGGTAGAGGATTATGCACTGTTGGATAATGGTTCAGACGTTACATTGATAGATGCTAAGCTGGTTGGCTGCTTGGGTATTAAGGGCCCAAAGCAATCCTTGGTTGTAAATACTTTCAATTCTTCGAAAACGGTAGTATGTGAACGAGTGTCATTTCAGTTAGAATCCTTGACTACTGGGGAAACGGTTGAAGTAGATACTGCTTACACTACCTCCAGTATGAAACTCGGAGAAGCTATAGTACCTAGTCGTGAAACAGTTGTCGGTAATCCATATCTGTGTGACATACCGTTTCCAACACTGCAAGATGGAAGAGTGAGAGTACTCATTGGATGTAGTGTGCCAGAAGCTCACAAGGTATTAGAAGAGAGATTCGGAGGTAGAGATAGTCTGTTCACGACGGAAACACCGCTGGGATGGACAGTGAGAGGACCTATACCCATAGTCCACATATCATCATTAGTTGCAAACAGTGGGGACAAACTAGAGACTATGATTAAAAATATGTATGACAAGGAGTTTTGTGACTGCGGTGTCCCAGAGAAGGGTCGTTCTGTAGAAGACTCAAAGGCAGTTAAAATAGTTGAGGAGTCCTGTAAATACGAAAATGGGCGTTTCAGCGTTGGCCTACAATGGAGATTTAAAGATAGACAGTTAGTTTATAATAGAAAAGTCGCTCTTGAGAGACTAATGGTTTGGAAGAAGAAGTTTCTGACGGATGCAGACCTCTGGACCAAATATGATATCGTCGACAAACATGTAATGAAGGGTTACGTTGAAAGACTAGTTGATCAGAGCGAGCCAGGGAAGTGGCATTTGCCCCATCATCCCGTCTTCAACCCGAGGAAGCCAGGTAAACTCCGTGTTCTGTTCTGCGAAACATGAAGGAGTCTCTTTGAATGATAATCTGTATAGTGGCCCAGATTGCGTGAGCTCATTAGTTGGGCTGCTGTTAGGACTCAGAAAGTTTACAGTTGCTGTCGCCACGGATATAGAGGAAATGTTCCCACAAGTGAAGATGCCAGAGAGCGACAGAGATCACTTAAGGTTCTTGTGGTTTGATGATGGTCCTTGTGGTAAGGTGCCAGAATATAGGATGACAGTCCGTCCGTTTGGTGCCACTTCCTCCCCGTTTTGTGCTAATTTTGCTCTACGAAAGGCAGTGTCCACATTTGGTTCTAATTATCTGCTGGACGTCATCGATTGTTGCTTCTATGTGGATGATTGTTTAGCCTCCTTCGTGATGATAAGTCTGCAGTTAAATTTGCAACAAGCATTAGTGAGGTGTTAGCTTAGGCTGGTTTTCGTTCAACTGAGTGGATCTCGAACAGCCTAGACGTTTTGAAGCATATAGTTCCAGAAGACAGAGCACCTACTGTACGAGATTTACCTGTTGATATTCTACCAGTTGAACGCACATTAGGTATGCGATGGGATGTGAACTCTGATACCTTTGGATTTAGTGTTGGTGATGTGGATAATCCAGCCACAGGGAGAGGTGTGCTCTCTGTGTTATCATCCGTGTTTGACCCACTTGGATTAGTAGCACCTTATCTACTTCCGGCTAGGAGGTTATTTCAAGAGACATGCAGGAAAGGGTTACAGTGGGATGACCCATCAGGTGAGAGACACAGTGGAGAGTGGAAGGGGTGGGTTAACAGTTTAAGAACGCCGAATCTACATTCCGTCTCACGTCCACTTAAGCCATCGAGGAATCATGATATAATTGACTTCCATGTTTTTTCTGATGCCTCTGAGGTTGGATTTGGAGCACCCGTTTACATCAGAACCACTTTAAGGGATGATATAGATGTTCGCCTAGCGATGGGTAAATCTAGAGCTGCACCCCTAAAGACGATTTCGATTCCGAGATTAGAACTTACTGCAGCCTTGCTAGCGGCGCAGTTATTCACAACGGTGTGTAAAGAGTTGGATTATGCCAAGTAACCCGTAAAGTTTTGGACTGATTCGATGTCTGTGATATATCATATACGCAACGAGTCAGCAAGATATGCATGTCTTGTAGCCAACAGAGTATCTCAAATTCGTGAACTAACAACTGTTGAGCAGTGGAGGTACGTACCGTCTGGAAAAAATCCAGCTGATCTAGCATCGCGAGGAGTCATTGATATGAATGTGGTTAAAAATAAGTGGTGGAAAGGTCCAGAGTTCTTGCTAAGGGCTGATAGTATGTGGCCTAGAAGAAAAGATGAACCACTGATAAACGAGTGTGTCTTGGAGTTTGAGACAAGTGTCAGTTTAACATCTACTCAAGGAAGATGTTCGGGTTTGCATCCACTTTTTAAATATTATTCTTCTTGGTACAAATTACTGAAAGCTGTTGCGTGGTTGACACGATATGTTACGTATTTAAATGTCATGCATCTTGCAGGATACGAAAATATGAATGTGGGACTTCTGAGAGTCGAAAATATCAGAGATGCAGAGTTAGCGACTTTGAGGGCTGCTCAGTGGGAAGCGTGGGGTGAGATTGCCAAGGAGGATAGTCCTGATTTCGCAGATATCAAGGCGCGGTTAGATCAACTACCTCCGATAGTTTCTGAAAGTCGATTCAGAAGTCAATTCACTTCACTATCAGTTGTATGACTAAGGGGATTTTTAGTGCCAATCATACGATCTAATTTTGATTCTGAAAGTGTTATATAATGCAGCATTTCTGGGTCCTTGAAAATACAGTCCACTAGAGTTAGAACTGCGATTGTAATACGTTTTTCGAATGATCCCACATTAAGTGCTGGGGGTTTGAAGGCGTCATTTTGTCGTGCTGGACTAACAGGCTTAATTGAATATTTAACCTGATTTATACACAGTTGCCAACGCAGGTCATGAACCAGTTGCGAAATAATGCGTGGCATTAATTCAGTGAATATGAATACGAAAGCTTCAAGTTTTTAGTAGCAAGATTTATCAAGCACGAAATACTACCTAAACGAAGACGTACAATATATTCCATGCGCTTGAAATCGAGTCGCCAATTAGTAGTCCACTCCAAGTGATATGTAAGAAAAGTCAGTAAACAAGGGACAGCAGGCATAATTAGCGTGCCTACAGTCTGGCATATAGTACTTAAACACAGCATTAGACGACTAGAAGTTGTTAACAAACGATCCGATACAGATTCATTTTCTGTTAGTCTTACTTCGAAGAAACCATTGAATAATGACATGAAAACAGGTAAACAAATGTCAATATACGTTGCCGAGTCACGCAGAAAGATGCAGCGTAGGGAATATGTGAAAAACTCAGCACGTAAATACAGGAAGTTTGAGAAGTCCTCCGACAATTTCTTCACCTTATCAACTGGAGTTATGCAAGAGAAGTAGTCAACTTTAGAACTTAAATACGCTTGAACTGTTGATAAAGTTGCATGTGATAAGCGGTTGATGTCTAGTAGACAACATAAGGTTTCGCTAAGACATCTAGCTAGACGTAACTGGTACTCTTGAAGACGTTGTGGTGAACTTTTCAAGAAAGGCAACATTGCAAAGCACTCTGCTGCCAGTTGAATTTTTTCCTCTATTTCCGGATTTTTGCATGACAGATCAAAATGTGTAGCTGTTCTGGCCGAGCAAGTACATTCCGTAGGGTTAATAATTTTGGTAATCAATAATTCCAAACGACTAGTTTGATTTATGAGGTGCTGAGGGTTAGCTTTCGCATATTTATGAATTTGTTTCAATTCTTCAAGTCCTAACTCTGATTTCTGAAGCAAACGCAGTATGTCTGGTGAAATTTGGGCAGAAGAGTTAACTGACCTTGGTGCCATGTAGCAGGACAGACGTTGATTCACATGCCCGCCCGTGCGGTAAGCAACTGAGTTTTTCCAAAAATCCAGCTGATCTAGCATCGCGAGGAGTCATTGATATGAATGTGGTTAAAAATAAGTGGCGGAAAGGTCCAGAGTTCTTGCTAAGGGCTGATAGTACGTGGCCTAGTAGAGAAGATAAACCACTGATAAACGAGTGTGTCTTGGAGTTTGAGACAAGTGTCAGTTTAACATCTGCTCAAGAAAGACATTCAAGGTTACATCCACTTTTTAAATATTATTCTTCTTGGTACAAATTACTGAAAGCTGTTGCGTGGTTGACACGATATGTTACGTATTTAAATGTCATGCATCTTGCAGGATACGAAAATATGAATGTGGGACTTCTGAGAGCCGAAAATATCAGAGATGCAGAGTTAGCGACTTTGAGGGCTGCTCAGTGGGAAGCGTGGGGTGAGATTGCCAAGGAGGATAGTCCTGATTTCGCAGATATCAAGGCGCGGTTAGATCAACTACCTCCGATAGTTTTCGAAAGGTTTGCTAGAGTTGGTGGACGTCCACAAAATGTTCGAATCGTCATTTGAGACCCATCATCCGGTCTTGTTATCTTGCTACCATCCAGTCACTGATCTCATTATAAGACACTAACATGTTCTTGACGATCATTTGGGTTCTTCGCAAGCACTATCAACTATTCGATGTAAGTTCTGGATAGTGAAGAGAGGTACTGCTGTCCGTAAAATAATTGATAAGTGCATGGAATGTAAACTACAGAGTGCTAGCTCAGCAGAGCAGATGATGACACCACTGCCAGCATGGCAAGTTTCTAAAGGGAATTATCCATTCAAGCAGGTCATAGTGGATTTTTTCGGACCTTTTGTAGCGAAGGGAGGCAGAACCCCATGTACAAGATATGGCTGTTTATTCGCCTGTTTGAAAATGAGAGCTGTGCATATTGAGATGGTTCATACGTTAACTACTGATTCATTCGTGCTAGGATTACGTAGATTTATAAATCGTCGAGGTGTACCGAAGATGATGTTCAGTGACAGGGGGACTGATTTTGTTGGCTGTCGTACCAAGCTTAAAGAGTATTTTGAAGGTCCTCAAACGAGAGTTCATGAAGAGTTACTGAAAAGAAACATCGAGTGGCACTTCAACCCAACACATGCCAACCACAGAGGTGGGCTATGGGAAAGACTTATAGGAATTATCAAGCGTATTTTAAGCTCCATAATTAAAAACCAGAGTTTGAATGACGAAACGTTGGAGACAGTTTTTTGTGAAGCTGAACGAATACTAAATGACCGTCCGCTATTACCTGTGAGGGACGAAGCCAAGGATTCCGATTTGTTAACCCCAAATAAATTATTGTTATTGAGAGGCATCCCTGGCATAGATAACTTGAGCGCGGAACGAATACCTACGAATAAAAGATGGAAACAAGACAGGCACATGAAAGATATATTTTGGAATAGATCGTTAAAGGAGTATGTTTTAACACTGCGAACCAGAGACAAGTTGGAAACGTTGTGCAGTCTTAGTAGCAGATAAATGGGCCAGAAGTGGATGACCTTTAGGAGTGGTAGAAAGGCTACTCTGTAGTGGTGATGGGTTGGTGAGGTCGGTTGAGGTGAGAACAAATTGTGGCATGTTGGCGCTAGATATTAGAAAACTGTCTACTGGAAGGTGCTGAGAGTCGAGAGTCGGAGGATGAGCCACTTGACAATTTTCCAACCTAGGGCGTCAACTTGAGAAGGGTTGTAGGAGTACTGATGTAAGTCCTACAATTCTTGATAGGGTGGCGCATCAATGAGAAGCCCAACGTGCTTGGTGTGTGATTTTGTACATATGTTCATGTTTTATATACTGAAGTGGTATCATCCCTCATCTATCTATTGGAAACTCTGTTTGCGTCCGGACGACTTCCACTTGGATCATCAACCCGACAAGGAATGTAGACGTACTGCTGTAAGTCCTACAGTTCTTCAAGGCTAGCTCGTCAACATTTGATGTATCGATTGTACATATGCTTGTGTTAATTAGTTGTGTGGGCCCCAATTATTGTAATTATTGTTTACTCTTGTTTGTGTCCGGACATTCTTCAGCCTAAGGTCGTCAACCTGAAAAGGGTTGCAGGCGTACTGGTGGCAAAGTGGTTAGGAATCTCGCCGATCATGCACATTGTCAATCACGACTCATAAAACATTAATGCCCAGCTCTTGCTACGCTCGGGCCCACGCTGTTCTTCGAAGATTTCGGAAACGATTAGTAATAACGGACGAAAAAACCAAAAGACCAATTGGCCGCTTGGGAATTCTTTATTGTTACACCAACATATAAAAGGAATAATTGAACTAAGGTCTGAAAACAAATATTACAATAATAATATTACTTCTGACGATGTTTCACTCTTCTTTCTGAACAGCGACCGATGAGACGATGACTGTCGTATTGATGCCTCCGCGAAAATTGGGGAAGTTGATTTTGAGCAAACAACCAAGAATTGATCGTTCAATCTTCAACTCCATTGACACTCCCCGGCAAAAAGGGATCCAACCCTTTTTTCCTTCACGACCAATGCACGTCGACTTGGATGCCATTGCGAGAACCTGGGTCACACGGACAGAGCTGAAATGGAAAACAAACAGAAAAGCCAACACACCACAAGCATACCCACAGCACAATCTCACACATCGCTGACGACCTGCGCCTCCAGACAGAGACCTCCTCTTGACATCTTGCAACACAATCACCACTTGCTAGAATGACTCTTGCAGAATGCAAAGTGACCATGGCAGCACCTCACGATACTCCACGCACATCCTCTTATCTACTCACTACCAATTACCACTGCAATCGCTTGTCACTCATTCTGCCTCAGTTCTAGTAGCGGTGACGCATGCGAGCCTCAGTCGTTTACACTCTTTCTCCCCGGCGTGTCGGACCGCACCTAACAATTATCTCCGTATGCATATCATTCTCACCAATAGCCTAGCGTCCCCGGCGTATACGACCCATCTGCTGTCCTTAACATCAATCAATTCATTCATGGATGTAGAAGACTCGAAACAACTTCGGAAGTAATCACGACGAAAATTTTAACAAAATTATGCAATAAAAACAAGGTACGAAAACAACGAGTAAACACAATGAATTCAAATAACACCAATTGATATGACACACCACACGTATATACAAACAGTACACACAAACTCGCATTTCATGTCTTGATGGAATACCCTTGAAGAATTGCAGGACTTACACCAGTACGCCTACAAACCTTCACAGGTTGACGATTGTAAGTTGTGGAATGTCCAGACACAAACAAGATTAACCAACAATTACATCAATTGGAACTCACACAATTATTTAACACAAACATATGTACAATCAACACATCAAATGTTGTGGATTCTGGCACGACAAACTACCCTTGAAGAACTGTAGGACTTACAGCAGTACGCCTACATTCCTTCTCAGGTTGATGATCCAAGTGGAAGTCGTCCGGACACAAACAGAATTACCAACAGCTAGATGACAGATGATATCAATTCAGTATATACAATATGAACATATGTACAAGATCATACACCAAGCACATTGGACTGCTCATTGATGCGCTACCCTTTGAAGAATTGTAGGACTTACAGCAGTACGCCTACAACCCTTCTCAGGTTGACGCCCTAGGTTGGAAAATCGTCGCAGAGTTCATTTGCTAACTTCCTTCTATGAGCTATATCCTCAAATCTGAACGGCAACACGCCCATGTCATTGTATCGTAGAATATAGATGACCAACAAACACACGACATATCTCATCAACCAAGTGTAAAAACAGAGTAATTTACACCAAAGATAATAACATTCAAATAGTAACTTGAAACTAGAAATGCCTTTATTCGTGCAAGTCAATTTAACAATTACTCTCTCGTTTACACTTGGCTTATCACACTAAACTGAGCAATATCTTTCGTCTTTTCAAACGCACCAATACTATCATAGTCATTGCACAAGATACTTGAGTTGATGGGTGTCTGTTTCATTGTGGATGACAGCACCAACGATGACTGAGTGACACAAGGTGATGAACTTAGTGGTGGATCAGAAGCTGTTCTTGTTCGGCTCTCAGATAGTTGTCCAACTGCAAGATTACCACCACTGCTGTCTTTCACTACTAGTTCGGGTTTAGCACTATCATCTGATGATAGGTGGGCTACACGCTGATCAATTACACTGACTGTCTCACAAGTATGCACACCTGGAACTGCATCTGCGTTCAATTCTACTTCACGTTGTAGTTGTACAGAACCTTTATTTAACTTAGCAGTAGTAGGCATATCCCTCATCTCATCATGATCAACCAAAGACATATGTGAAGTATCATGATCATTATCACGAATATTCACTTTACCGTCAACTTCATCATTTTCAAACTCTTTAATAACAGAAGTAGACAATTTTGGTTCCTCCTCACAAATCATTAAAGGTTTTATATCTTCACTCTGACTAGTTATACTTTGTAAACTTTTGGAGTCAGAACTGCACTCTGAAGCAGTAACTCTATTCTGTGACACTCTATTCAACAATGGCTTACCAGTTGCAACTACAGACTTCTTAACCGCACCGTTATCGTCACACAATTCGGAGTCAGGCCTGGAGTTTACATTTAGCTTATCACTGAACTTGCTCACTGGTTCACAGTTCACTTCTGTATGCACCTCTTGCACACGTGTAAACACAACCGTGTTTGTCTTGCATCTTGTAACTTATCTGTTGAGGATGTACTACGAAACCTGTTACACTCACTAGGTCTATATGCATTACTAGACATCATGGAGCTTTCTCGATATCCACCTCTCTGAGGCCTACTCGTCATCAATGATTGCATTTTGCTCTCAGACTGCTCTATTCTAGGGGTGAGATGTAATAGACTGGCGAACTTGCTCATAGATTGATTGACACTAGTATTTACCAGTTTCAGGATATCATCAAACTTTG